TCTTGGATGTTTTCCCTCCCATGCTGTGCAGTTGTGATTCCGCATGTAAATATTTGGGCGGGACACAAACTCGAGAAACAGAGGCCCCTCTGTACAGCTAGCGGGCGAACAAAATGCCAAGCAAACAGGCTTGTGACGTTGTCGGATCGCTCTTGAATGCATGGGAAAGAAAAGTAGGAGTCAAAAAGAGATGACTTTTTTTTCCTTTGAAAAAGAGAGCAAGAGAGAGGACAGCGTCATCTTTGTCCGGCCCGTGCAGATAATAATCTGAGTGCTGATTCAGCCGGCGAGTACCATGAGAGGTAGCGCGCTGCTGTCTCAGGCCTTGGAAAAGCGTTCCATCACCCCCATGCATCACATAGTCATTTGTAAGGCTTCCCTTACGGCCCGCTGAGACTGTCCGGTTATGACAGAGGAAGCAAATAACAGCCCACACCTCAATGTCACCCTCGCTGAACTGCGATTATTATTCTTCTGTGCAAACTGCCGTGCGTTATTCCGTCTCTTTCAGCAGAAGACACTGACAAATGCACAGAAACTGTACAGATCTCCATCAGCTCGCACCGGCATATATGACAAACATCCAGCTGAAGCCTGGCACGGGTCGAGCCTGGCAGATATCAAGTTATGATAGCCGTGTTGACTAATTTAGAGCAAGATTGAATTCCTTCACCCCCCTCATCTCTCATGCTGTCAAATAAAGGCCTCGCGGTCTAGACTGATCCTATCAAAAAAAAGCTTAATTAGCTTGTAATAAATTCTCATTTCCGTCAGTCTTCTACAAAGCCTCGGCCAGCTCCGTGTGTGCCAGCTGACAAACGCCCAGTAATTTGATACTGGCATTCAGCGGGTTCCCTTCCCGCTGCCCCTTTCTCCCCCTCCGCCATTTCACAGGAGATCTTTAAATGTCACCCAAACACACACACGTGTGAGTGCAGCATTTGTGAGGCACTCTCAAGTGCTGGAGGGATTAAAATGTTTGAGCCAGTTGCTTCAGGAAGCAGAGGTAAACAAAAAAACCCAAAAAGAAAGCGGTAGATGAGGATGGTGAGACTACCGGTGTGTGCTTCTTTTATTAAGGTAACACTGGTAGATATCTGTTGGTAGCACGTGACTATTAAAAGAAGAAGCTGCTTGTGGCTAGGCAGAGATTTACATCAGATGCCCTTCCTGACTCAACCTCAAAGGGGATTTGTGTCTCTGTTTGGAATTGAACCAAGAAGTGAATATGTTAGCCACAACACTAAGGAGTCATCACTTGATAATATATTTGGTAACCATATTTTTTTCTTAAACGCGGCACGGAAAACTTGATTTCCACCCATTAAATACCTGTCGACGTCATCGATTACTGGAAGGTCCCAGGCGCTTACAGCCTGTTAAGTTCTGGGAATCATCTGAAACAAACCCTCACTATCCTGATCCTGATTACCCAGCATTTTGACCTACACGTTAACATCTCAACTGCCAGCTTTTCAATCAGAGCAAAACTTTATTTCCTGTCAATTCCTGGCCTACAAATTCCTGCAAACAATCATTAACCTGCACCTCCGCAGCAATGTGCAGTCCCGTTTGCTGACTCAAACACCGCTTTTCATGCATCGAAATCAAAAGTTGCAAGCCAAAAATTCTCCCTGTCGAGCTCTGCCAAAACAACGTGTTCAAGAGAAAGCCGTCATCTGTGATGTGACATTTTCATGGCACATCTTCTCAAGACACTTAAGAGACTAACTCAGCCGCCCCCATCCTTCAAACAAGTGCAAATATGACTGAACACACATGACTAACCCTCTTCACAACTACAAGGACAGAGTGTGACTGTGTATTCATGACCTCAGAAAGACAAGTTTGATACAACCCCCCCCCCAAAAAAATTTTTTTTTACAGTGCTTTTTAATGGACATCAGTGGGATGTACGGCTGCACTGATACACTCTTTAACAATCATAGTCCCTGCACTTGGACCAGGTCAGATATCCCAAGTGTGGCACATTCTCTGGGTTTCCAAGTCCTTGAGTGGAAGTCGATTTATTGAAGTCGCACTCTGGTTTTTTGATGGAAGACTTGCTGAATTTGAAAATTCCCAGAATTCTCAAAGGTTTTTTTCCCCTGCTTTTTTATTTCCAGGTGGAAATTAAGTAAATTAATGAATTAATTTATGTATTGCTTCATAGTGTAGTGGTTAGTACGTTTGCCTAACACGTGAAATGTCAGTTGGAGACACTGATTGCAAAATCACATATGCAGATCCAACCGCTCTGGTGACCCCTTTCAAATAAAGGAGCAGCTGAAGGAAGCTTTAATCAATTAGTTTAGTTAATTAGTTCACTATTTCACCAATATATAATTTATGAGGCTGAGCTGAATATTATATTCATGCTTCAAACTGGCTCTGTTAGTCAAACTGATGGCTGGATTAACCAATCGGTAGATGATCTGGTTTTTGCATATTATTCGAATTGCTTTCATACAACACGCCTCATTCACGTCATTCTTTTCTACGTGCGATAAATTTGACGAACGCATCAAGAGCAACTCCGGTTTGAGTATACTACCCACGGTAGCTTTTGCATGCACACTGGAGCAGCCAGAGACCTCACTCTCATGATCTGCTCAGTTCCAGCTTTAGCCTCCTTAACCCTTTTCAAGCTACCAGGACCAGGCTGTATATGTGTTTAAAACCCCAAACTGCATGATGTTCAAACAAGACGGTCAGTATAAGAAGCTCTGACTAAATTAGGTGCAGGTTCAACAGCATCAGTGTGTTTTTTGTGCTTTAATCACACACAGTCCTGGTTATGGGGACAAAAAGGTACAAATCCTCCAAAGCATCTCTATTAACAGGCTTGCTCCTTCTGACCTCACACCCGGGGAGCTGTAATTGGCTGATTTTGGGGGATGTTCTCTCAGGTGGAAATTTCATGCATTGTCACGCATGCCAGTTTACTTCTTTAGTCTCAAATCACCAGGAACATTAGGGCTGAGAGAAGTCAGCCAAGGCTTTCTTTTTCTTTTCGCCTTCCATGAGTTTAAAATGAGAAAGCTGATCAGGCCTGTTTCCACGTGGTCATTGCTGATCTCTGAATGACTTTTGTGGGTTTCACGTTTGTCTAATTGAAAATGAAAAAGCTCTCTGGCTGTGTGAAAACATCCACGCTTGGCACAGATGAGGCGCCCACATAGTTCACAGCGTGTGCACCCCTGTAGACCGGCTGACTGGAAGGACCGCTTCAGACATTTGTCTCGCAGCAGGAGACAGATTCAATCACCATTTTATAAGTGAACATCTTTCGCCTTGACTTACTTCACCCTTGCACGGCTTCACGTGGGATTGATATATGATGTGTGCTGTCATTTTTTATACCTCCAATAAAGAGGGAGAGAGCGAGAGAGATGGGGGTGGGGCGGTGGGGTAGTTATAGGAAAGAGTGGAAAGACAGCACACTCAGCACTGCTCAATGCACACAAACACAACATTTTCCCCAAGAGGCATAGCTCAGATTCCTAGGCTACAATTTGCATCACAAATATCCCAGAGTGGGAGTGCATGCACGGAGAATAAATAAACCAGCGAGGGTCCCACTTTACTTCTCCATTCATCCCGGGTGTCACCCATCCATCCGCGCATCCACCCTCTCCATCGCCTTGCATCCAAAGATCCACTCGGGACTCAGGGAGAGAAAGAGAGAGGTGGTGTGTATGTGCAGAGGCCAAAGAAAAACAGAGCTGTCTTTAGAGGCGGGAAGGGGGAAAAGCATCCAGGAATTTAATTTGGAATCCTTGGAAGTTTGGGGCCAAATTCACCTCTGAACATGAATCTGACAACTTTCCTGTTGTGCCGCCTCATAAGTGCGTTTCTGTTTGTTTTTCCTTGGCTCAGCAGTCTGTGCCAAACACTTGATTGTGTCAACTAAGAGCCCAGATTATGGATCACTTACTGAACTCCAAATAACTGGACAGAATTCCAGAAGAGATATCACACCAAACCAAATCAAATTAGAATTATCGATGAATAAGCGTGGGAACAAAAACCCATTGGAGAAAAGAAAAAAGTTGAACTTAATGATTTACTTCAAATAAGAGCGCAATCAAATCATGCATCATAAACAAAACATCCCAGCCGGATTTAAAACCTCAGCAAACACCCTACAGGGGCGCCAAAGGAAAGATCTGTCAGAGCACATAAATAAAACACCATTAACTTTACTATAAATTGACTGTCGAGTGTCACTGACGCATCCGAAGCCAAAACAGGCACGCTGAAGAAGCATTAAAGTGATTTTCGTCAAGGGACCGACTCCACGGGGGTCGCGATGATGATGATGAAAGCGAGATGTTTTCCCACTGCCTGTATCGCCCTCAGAATATCTGCTACATCTAAATTATTCAAAGACAGTAAGGAATTAAAAAAAAAAAACTGTGCCACTGGTGCAGCCTGAGTCTTATATATAAATATATTAGTCTTCGAGTCTTCTGGGGAATTAAACTGAAACGATGGCGCATTCATTCATACTTAGTGTAGGGATCTAAATAATCGGAATCAGCGCAGATTCGCAGTCTGTTTGATGACAGATGTTTTTTCTTTGTTGGGAGATTTCATTTGATGTTATCGTTTTCGAACCAGCATATCTCGCGTAAAAAAAAAAAAAGAAAAAAAACTGTGTTAAAACGACAGAAGAAGGACAGTTTGGGGAGCGTTATTTTATTTTACGCAGAGGCAGTTGAATGACAGTTTCCTGTAGGTGCGAGAGCGATAATTGAAATCAGCACCAGCGTGCCAGGATGTGAACTTGTGTTAAGTTTTGGACCAGAAAGAGTCAGAAACCCGGCGACCTTCAGTTATCATTTAGTGGAATTATTGCTAAAGTCTCTGCAGGGACAGAAAAGGATCGGCTCTGTTGCTCTTTGGATGTCTCAACTCTCACTTCATCGGTGCTTTTCAAGTCAGACCCTGACCGAATAACGGAGGCGCAGAGACGCGCATCCCCAAAAAGCACTCACCTGATTGCGCCGCACAGGATCCGATCACCGCCAAAGTGACGAGGACGCAAGCTGGGAAGAACTTCATCTTGGGGGGCGGGAAGAAAAAAAGCCTGCTTCTCTTGTTAACTCCCGTAACTCACATGTCCAATTAAGATATCCTCGTTGATCACACACGTAAAAAAATTAACCAAAAGAGAGAGCGAAAGAGAGAGATAGAGAGAGAGGAAGGAAGAAGAAAAAAAATAAAACCCCGTCGGAGTCTTCTTTTGCGCTTCTTGGACACCTGGCACCGTTTCCGTGCGCCGTGGAGAGCTTTTACGCACCGCGTCTCGTTCTGTTTGCGTGTCGGTTCCTACTCCAGTGTTTAGGTCGCTTTCCACCGCGGATACTCTGAGCCATTTACTCCTCACACTGCCATCGCGCCGGTGGCTGGGGGGAGGGAGGAGGAGGATGGGGGGGCGATGTGCGCGCGTGCGTGTGCGTATGCGCGTGCGTGTCGGGCGTCTGAACACGCCTCCTTTGGAATGACCGACACCTCCTTCGCCCTATTAAGTCCCATCCAAAAGATTTGGAGCGTTTAATACTTTTTTTCTTTTGGAAATCCGCCCACACTACTTATCGCCTCTCCTGATTGGCTATTAAGCTCCAACGCTGCCGTCGATACACCTGTTAGGAGCAGGTTTTGTTTTGGTTTCTGTTTGGCTGCTGTGTCGGCCACTGTGCTCTTCGTTATTGCTGGGAAGACAAATTACTTAATATCTGATCCTGATCATGATGTAGGAAGTAGTTTGTTTAGGGGAGTATAATGTGACAGACAGACAGAAGACATCAGTGGAACACCCCACAGTGTAGTTTCAGCAACACCACGAAAGTTTCCTGCTTCGCCAGCAGGGTCAGCCTCTGCAAATACCCACCGCTACGAGGCACAGCCTATAAAGTTTGATTGTGCTGGTGTGAAGAAGCCGCAGTGAAGGCAAAAAGCTGGAGCAGTGTACCATTTTCAGGGCCACTCATTTTACAAGCCAGTCTGCCCACAGATATTCTGCACTCTGCTTTTTATTTGTGGACTGACGTGAAAGTATGAAACGAGCTGGCGAATCGACGAGGACAAAAAGATATTGATTTGCGATCCGTGTAAGGCGAAAACTCGACCGTAACTGGAACTATTGGAGAATTAGTGTGAGGACCATCCTTGATACAGCCTCACGGTGCCTGAAGGGATGGTTTATTTAGTGTCCTTTGCTGCTCTCTAGGGGAATTCACGGGGAACTGCTCGGTTCTGAGCCTTTTGATCATAAAGCTGCTGAGTAGTTCTGTGCAGTACTGCACATTTTGCCATCAATATGATACCAAGTATTGCCAACAACGATACCAGTACTTTTAACCTATTTAACCTAATTAGGTTAACATAGCAGAGCAGTGTGTCATGATTTATGAGATGAATCGTCATCAGTTTGCAAAACACATTTTAATGACATTAAATCACTGTGATTTTCACTTCCTTTTAGCTTTTAATGTCTTTAGAAACTAGTGTGTGTTTGAGGAATATTTTTTCATTAACTAATATTTTAGTTAATGCAATTCACTGGGATTCATACTGAAGTTAGAGAATAAAAAGTATCAAACTTATCATTGTAGTATTGATCCGATGCCAATACGAGCCCTGATATTGATGCTATTGATATAATTTCGATCCACAAACCTCTGCTGCTGAGGGACCTGAAGTGAAGGCCGTATCTCCTCAGTAGCATAAAGGCGGACATCAGGACCCTCACAAAAATCATTAAATGGGTTACTTTGTTTGCTTTTCCATCACAGATGTGTGTGTAATCACTCTCTAAAGTTTTCTGCATTTGAAAAGTCACATAAATATTAAACTGTTTTCATACAAGCTGTAGATTATATTGGGATACACACAAAAAAAGGTACTTTAATGTATCTGTAGGGGGCACAACCAAAAGTGAATGGGAGAGTGAACTCCAAGGCACTGCCTTTGTGCATTTGACAGTGCACAACGGCAGCTATTTGTAGCTTTTTGCTTTGTGCTTTCCAGAGACCAGTTCTGTACCTCTATCATTGTGCAGCTTTTAAAAAATTAAACCTTTAAAAAAGGTCAAAATTGTGTATATGGGGTTGTCATGGTTCCCCAAGTAATTGTGTGTGACTTTTTCAGCTTACCAGCTGAAGATGTGGCTGCCCAGGGCTCCTGGCGCACCCATTTATCATCGACACTTATCATCAATTCAATTCAATTTCATTTATATTGTACCAAATTCCAAATTGCAAAGTAAATGCCCTACAACCCTTATAGAGAAAACCCCACAACAATCATCTATGAGCAAGCATTTGGCAAAAGTAGGAAAGAAAAACTCCCAAAACTCAGACCGGCTGGGCGTGAGGGCAATGAGACAGGGCAAAAATACACAGTATACAGTTTATAACCCGCCACTCACCATTTATCAGGTTGTTGAGCTTCCCAGTGTGGTAGCATCACTCAGTCTTCTTTGGTATTTATTGATTTTTTGTTTACATGCCAACCTTACCTGTAGAATCCTTCCTGGTCCATCAGCCTGGCTAGCTTCTGTTGGGTCATACCTACAAGCGCCACTCTCACCGCACTCAAGAGTACTTACCTGACCCTGTGGAAAGCAGTGAATATTCACCTGCGTTGGAGATTCTGAAAATCACAGCAGGGTACAGATTCCTTTAATAAAAATATTTTAATATGCAGTTGTACACATGGGCAATAGGCTGGAACATCTGAACCTAAAGATGCAACTTCACCAGGTAACCTGACACGTAGTCTTTAGACTGTTCGAGGAAATCTGAGAACCCAGAGAAAATCCACCAAGCGTGAAGTGAACAAAAGATGCCACAAGTTCAAACCCAAGAACTTTTTACTATGAAGTGACAGCGCTAACCTCTTCATCACAGTGACACTAAATATATGACAGATACAGAGTGAAATACGTATCCATCCGTTTTCATAACCACTCACCCAGTTCAGGGTCATGAGAGAGTCGAAGTCTGTCCCAGCTGTTGTTGCATAGATACACCTTGGATGGGCCATCAGTCTATCACAGGGCCTAAAGGTTTTCTGTTTTAAAAAAATGAACATTGAAACAATAAAATGATCAAATCTAACCGTGGAGTTAATATTCTGCATTTTTTCTTTTTCTGCTGTCCGTTAAAATCTAGAAGAAAAGTTGCCTTGTTTGGTCACACATCTTAATCTTGTTCAAGAAAATGTGGAGACGCATTAAACCCGTAGTCTTCCTAATGATCAGGATGGGACGACTCTTTCCTCGGGTGATTTTGTTTCTAGTTTCAAATCTACTCCAATACAGCATAATGAAATGGTCCAATATTCATCAACTTAACACATAAATATCAAATACATATAAATAACATGTTGGATGGTTAATGTTCATCTGTAATGAGTGTAAGCTGTCAGTCTGCTGTTTACCTCGGCCTAAATATACAGATGTGGACAGTATCTGGATTAGGGTTGCCAACTCCCTGAAAAATAAATAAGGGACACCTCGTGGCCAGGGCCGGGTGACCCAGTTGTCTTCACCCTTCCCAGTGTGGTGAATATGACAATTCGAGTATGACAATTCAGATTACCGCTCATCTCATTGGTCGAGGAAAGGTCGCTTACGGAGAAAATACCGGAAGACAACAGATGACCACAACAAGAAGCATGGCCAACAGGGAAACAAACGCCGACACTGCGGTGCAAGTCTCG